ACAGACAAAGAATAATCTTGGTGAATAGAGATAAACAAGAATTCACATATAAAAATGCACATAAGTGAAAGGTTGGGATTATTAGTAAATGAATGAATACAATATAACCAATAATCTCATAATTAATTATGTGAATATCAGATAAGGTCAAGCAATGATTTGTATAATTCTGCCATATTAATTCCCGCTACAATCCAATTGTAAATGAGTTACTACAACCCTCATTATGAATACCTGAAAAAAGGTCGAGTGAAACTTACGTAACAGATGGATCCCAACTCTGTTAGTTAAAGAAAAAGATAATAAAAAATGTTAGGGGTAATATAAATATGATAATATCATAAACACCCCTAATCTTGTTCGCAACTTTTGTAAACTTCAAAATATTCAGGAATAACTGGATACATTTAAACACTGGTTTATCAAGAAGGCTGAGTGAACAGAGCGAGACCCTATGTTTCATGACCGGTTTTCCCAAAAAAACTATTCTGCAGTACAGAAAATAAGAGTGACAAATAAACTATGGTTAACTAATCTTCGAAACGTCTACATGCATCTTGACAGGACTCATCGTCTATCGGTATTGAACTGACTATGTATTTTCAACTCTGAGGTAAGTGGTATCGTAAATAAGACAGTAATCAACATAGTATAATGCTTCTGTTTTCCGATTTCGAAATTATATGAGACTGACAAAATCCAAGCACGGGTACAAAAGGTTCTCTTGGTTTTTGCCAAATTACGCCAGATATTCATGTTAGAAAAGATTTATTGAACAGCAGTTTTTTCCTTATTACTCTCACTATAGAGTATTGAATAGAGGGAAAGTTGGTAGTTGAGGTCATATATCTCCATATAGTGAGATGCTTAGTACATGATGTAGTCAGTCAGCTACAACGTAGGACCAGGCACATATGTGTATCAATCCAAGTTGCCATACTTCATTAGCACAACAAGATGAACACCGGATTCATAGAAGTAGTTAATTAAGTGGTGATAATATATAAAAGAAAGATTGCATATAAGGACAAGTACATGATGCGTTGCACATGCAACAACCATTTACGCTGACATGTAGTGGAAAAGTTGTAAAAAAAGCTAGAGATGGGAAGATCACTGCATATAATCATTCCATGAATTTACTGACTGATGATATGAGACATGTTGACAAGTGAAGGCTTGCCAACTGGAGGTCGCAAAAGACTCATAATCAACTGTTGTAGACATTCAGTGATAGGGTGAAAAACTGGTTGCACTTGTGTTCATTCTCCATTTTCCTCTAAAAATTGTGGGTTAAGCATCATTCTCAACTCTCCATTCTTCAGTCTCGTTTGTTCATTTGAGATTATATTTCTGGTATCTAGTTACTTTATACAGTTGAGTGTGAGATGAACAAATGGAGGACTTTTTCCATTATTGAGTGAAGAATTATGTCAATGAGATGAAGGGGGAATATTTGCAGTTTAGGAAGAGGATTTATGAGATGTTTTGTTTCTGAGCTAGATAACTTAATCGTGAAGATTCATTGTCTTCATAAACATCATCCGTAAGTGATAAAATCTAATTTCAGATCAAATAACAATATAACGGTAGTAGATAATATCTTTGAATACTTAACTATACCCTATAATATCACATGAACGTACTTCATTAATTGTTAGAGTAGCTGATGTATGCTGAACTGTCAGAAATAAGAAAAAAAAAGATAAAACAGTGAAAGCCGAAAATTAGAACGATAATAAAGAGAATTTATAAAGAGGACGTACAGACTGAATTTTTTAAATCTCAAAAGTGGTGGCTTAAAGATTTAATGAAGTAATTTCTCATTCAAGATTGGCAAAACAAGTTTTAAAATACATTATCTGTCCAATAAATACGCGAACAGAGATCCTAAAGACATTTTTATAAACATGTGGGAATATTGATCTTATCTCGTTCAAAATACTCATTATATGGTTCCCGCTTCCATTACAATTGTTCAAAACATGCGTGGAAGTTCTCGCTAATGGGAAGGAATTGACAGGGATTAAACTTAATGCAAAGGGAAGTTGATTTAATATGTTAACTAAATCGCCCTAAATTGTATAAATTAAAGTTTCCGTTTTTTTGTAAAGACTATGTATATCTGTCTAAAAATATCTCCATTAAAACACCAAAATAGTAGATAAAGGAGAATAATATTAACAAATCAACAAGTGAATTATTTGACAGTACAACGAAAAACCACATATCCAGCTTTCTAGCAAGTTCACACATTTTGATCAACTGAATAATATAGCTATGCACAAACTTCAGTATTCAGAAGGTTTGATATTAGCCAGATAGTCATAAGTAAACGTAAGAACATGACACTTGTGTATAAATATGAGTTGCTACACAACAGTGAGATGACAGTGCGAAAATAAATATCGGAGTTGAAGCACCAGTTATGATAAACAAGATTTAAAACAGAGAATATGATTCAGTAAGAAAGAATTTGCTGAGCAAAAAGTGTAGAATAATTTAGAAACTCGTGATCTAGAGTTAGATTAGTAGCGAACGAATACATGTCACTGTAACCGATTCATCAACATGTCACCCACCTCGAGCCACCGATTATGATTATTCGTAGTTTGAATAAACGAACAGTCAAATAACATTGCGGATCGATTTCACATCTTAGTTTAGACGCCTCTAGCTTTCGGCTAACCCACTCCTTTTCAGATCAGCGTTGTGCATCGTGGTATTTAGTGTTAAGTATTTATCGTGTGTAACACATTTCACAATCATATCAGTCATGAAGTAATCACAGCCTCATAAACTAATTTGGCACATTTGTCTAGTATTATACATTAAACTTCAAAGTACCGATTATCAAATATCAGTAACTTCTGAATGTCCTATACTTTTACTGACTACACTTCAAAGCTGTAAAGGAAAATTGAGCAGACTGATGCGCAGCATACTCTTCCTTTGATTAGAGGACGATTTTCTGGCTCACCACAAAGGTGATGCGAGTTGACAAACCCAAGATAGACTTCTAGATCCGTGCAGAGATTTTATCAATCACCAACACGCCAGGGCTGAGGAGGATTCCAAGATGAGTAGTCGACACGCTTAACCACTACATTCCCTATCACACTCTAGAATATAATGTAAGGCGGTTTTGAAACAATTTGCATTTAGAGGGTGAGAAACGTAATCCAGACATGCACAAGACTAGAAGACTACATCCTATCAGAGTTTTCGACAAACAGGATGATATTATATGGGTGTTCTAAGTCAACAGGTGAATTTCATGGTCAGTAATCTACAACGTAGGATCAGGCACACATATGCATCGGTCCACGTTGCCATACCTCATTAGCACAATAAGATGAACACTAAATTCATAAAAGTAGCTACCTCAATGGCAGTAATATATAAAAGAAGGATTGCATATAAGGATATAATACGGGGAGAAAGAAATATATAAAGTAATTTCAATCTCAGTTTATGGGAAGACAAAGAGTGTGTACACGTAGACCATTGTGATCGATTCTGAGCCATGTCACCTAGAGTCTCCAAACATTGGTTACGATAGTCACGTGGACCCCAACCAGGTAGTTACCTACAGCCAGTATCTTAACCACTTTCCTATTAATAAACTTTCGCATCCTCAGCTTACACTCTTACGAAAAAGTGAGTGTTTGGAGTCGTCAAGACACTTGAGAACTAGAACCTAACGACCTACAAATGTATAGTGACAAGTATTTAGGGATTCCGTACAAATGGTTGGCGAAAATATCAAAAAAGGGATGAAGCGCTTCCGTTTAGTATACAATTTTATAAGCTATGTTAACGTGTACTTACTAAAAAGATGTAAAATACCCATTTGTATTTGTCCAATTTCTGGCAAAGCTTTTCTAATCTCATCCGTAACATAATGACATCCACGTGACTTCTTTTTCAAAGTGATAATTCGCTGAAACCAATAACTGCCAGTTGCAGAAGTCATTATCTATGTGTAGAATATAAACGGACATGAAACCATTGTTGAAGAATAGTTATATATCTATAACGTTTATAGTCAAGGCAAAATAGTAACCTATAGTGAGTACTATGGGATCTTTGTTAAAATAAAATAGTGGTATTGTGTTTTATTGATTTGAGTTTACCGTCGATATGTCTAAACGATCTAAAGACGCTAGGTCCTCGTACATGAACTATCTGGTGCGATGGTAAATCGTTTTGTCGTCAATCAAAGGAAATAAGACGAATTCAGTCAGGTTTTAATACCACTGAGTTGGTATTTAGCGTAATGTTCATTGATGAAAAGAAACGAAATCCACAACCCACACGTTTTCTCACACTAAACAAGTAAAAACAAAGGAAAGTGGTCCAAAAAAACAGTTTATTAATGACATTTCTCTTGTCCGGAAAGACATTACTCCAGCTCAAAACAATTTTAAGTAACCAGAGGATTCTAAAACAAGTTTGGTTATGCAGTTGAGAAACTAATACCGGAAAATATGGATACTCTCGAACCATACAAACTTTAAAATTTTACCGTTTAATTTGTCAAAGCTCTGATGAGTAAGTGAATACCTTTTCCTGATAAGCAAAGAAAGGTGTCATTTATGTGTTATGGTAATTAACTAGTAGCTTTATTCCTTAAAATACACCGAAGTTAAAATAATACGAATAACTAGGAACACAGACGCATTCTTTCATCAACATTCATGACAGCATATTTCTACAGAAAATAAAATCTGTTTCATTTAAATAAATTTTGAAAACATCTCATAGAAACAGGTTTTAAAAAACAATAAATTGTATTTACAACAGGGTAAAAAAAATAAAGACGACAATACAAGAAAGGCTATTTAGAGAGAAGAAAAAATCATAAGCATTTAAAAAGTTAAAAAAATTTCCTGGTTGTATAGTAATTCATATAAAAACAAGCATGGAATAAGGCAAAAAGGTGGATAAAAAAAGTAATACTATTTCAATAAAATAGTTTAGTGAGAGCGATTCATTCATTAGAAATAATTTACAACACCTAACCGATCTTTTAATGTTTTAGGTGTACGGAATTTTTCAATTATTCGTGAAACACTATGACCAGTAATTATATCATCTTCTTTGTCAGTTGAACAAGAAGAAGAACAACTAGAGAAGATTGATGGTGACAAAAGATTGGAATGTGAGATTTTCCTTTCAGATACAAAAGAATTGGATAGAAGAGAAGTTTGCAATTGTAAACGTGGGTTATTAAATAAATTAGACAATGAAGATGAGCGTTTGGTCAAGTTAGAAAATGTAGATTTCAATTCACTACTCGATGGAGATGAAAATGTGCATACAGCGGAGAGAGACGGTGATGGCGATTCGCGACCAGTGTGATTGTACGCTTCAATATCACTACTATAACCAATATTCATTTCGGAAATGATGGATTCAGGCAACATATGCTTGTGATTTCTGTTTACATCATTAATGTAATCACTAGTAGCAGCAAACATACAGAATATTTGGGAGAAAAAAATATAAAAAGTAATTAATACAACTGAAAGGAATGAATTAAAAACAGCAAAGGCTGACTCGCACGTGGCCCATAAAAATTGATGCTAGTAGGTTACTAGTATTCGATCATAGATGTCTATGGAGTATTGTTCGTGTATTTTGGGACCATTGCGTTAGCAAATCTGAGGTAAGATGCAGAGTACTAAATAAGGATGGAAATTGAATAACGAGATATTAAATCGTTATCGAGTGAGATGGTTCGGACATGTATTACGTATGCCTATCTACCGATTACCTTGACGAGCAATGACAACTGGTAAAGGAGCAAGTTGAAAGAAAGGTAGGATCAGCCAAGCCAAGATGTAGTATTGGTCCATATAGACACCGAATAATCGGCTGTCACGTAGGTAGGTGTACACTACCTGGTTGAGGTCCATTGATCATTATAACTGCTAGCTAGAGACTTTATAGGAAATGGCTCAAAATCGTTACAAACGGTGAAGGTGCATACACTTTTCGTCACTCCTTAGATTCTACGTTTCTAAATTCTTTACGAAAACCCTTTTATTTCACTAATTCATATTTTCTTCAATAGTAACTTCTATTCCTGGTCGCTTCTACTACCACTAATACTGTTACTACCTCTGTGATTCTGTGATTCGCCCTAACAATTTCATCTCGATATACTAATGGGGTACGGGAACTTGAACGGATATGTCGGGTTCTACGTTGCGTTTGACTGACCGACTGGTTAAATCATCAACTAGGTACAGATCCGTATACTTGGGCTTTGAGCTACACTTTACGTTTCAAGCTAAAGTAGATGGAATATGGGTTCGAATATGTAACATAGTAGTTAAAAGTCTAATATCTTAGTCACTAAGCCATGACTTCACAATTCATACATTCATTTGAGGCTATACTACAACAAGTAGTTCCGAATTTTCACGCCAGATGACTAAGTTAAAAGGTAGAGGGTTCAAAGTGGTACTGGAACTAACTTACAGGTTATGGATAATTAGGCTAATAGTCAGTGGTGTTTTAAGAGATAATTTAACATTCCGAATATAAACACGTTTACAAGACTAGCTGAACATAACAGGAACATGAGTAATAGTAGAAAAGCAATACATTAGACGAAATCAAGTTATTTTCTACCAGTTTTAACAAAATGAGGAGATAGTGAAAGACGAGTGATATGATATCATTCAGTCACAGTGATATAAATGTTATTCTACGAATCCTGATCATAGTGTTATTTCGTGATGTTTTACTTTCCACTGACATGGATAGCACTGTTCCTCTTTCCCTACTTTTCATCTTTACTTCTTCGATCGCCGTGGTGATATGAAGTGTGGCATCTCGTATTGATAACACATTCATGTTAAGTCATATTTCTTCTATGTGTGACTTGTGAAACATTTGAAATAGTGTCGCTCAAAGTGTGGTTCACGGCATTTATTCTTTGATAAGTAATTCCCAATATTGCACAAATACTAGCTGAGAAGTCTGTCTCTCGTTATTGAGTTTTATGTGCCAGTCTCACAATCAGTATCAATCCCAGTCAGGGTTCAGCACTTCAAACATCATTCATTGTCATTTTATGAGATACATATCAATAACTTTGTCGGTTGATTTGTCATCTCTCATCAAAAATTTGCACTGATTAATCTAATCACACAACACAAAGGAGGAATCGATAACCAAACTGAAGAAACCTCTTATTATCTGTGATTAACATTTTACCTTGATAGCTGTTAAGTAGAACGGATTATAGCTCAACAATACGGTGGATACATAACACATATTTTCAATAAATATACATGTATGCTAATACATATGTTTTTCTAATGTGAAAAAATGAATTTATTCCTAAATAACATATAGAAAACCCTCTGAACTTACACATATTCATTTTCATCAATGCTTGAATTGTCTGACTCCCACACTGGATGCTTAATGAGATTAGTAAGCGAAGTCAAAATATTAGGACTTTTGTCTTTTTCTGACTCACTCTTATTTCCTTTTTTAGTTGATATACTTAAACCCTTGAATGCTTCATCTAACATAAGTTGATTTTTGTCAATTTTAGACAACTTCGACTTTGTTTTTTTCTTCCCAATTAGAATTTGACGCGTGGAATTTTCGAACACCGAACAAATTTCACTATGAGCTCTACGAAATTCTACTTGTGGTACAGAAAAATAATAATTGCAATTATCAGAAGTATTCATATTCTGAACATTTTCATCATTGGGATGCAGAATATTTTTTTGTCCGGACCATTTGTCGAATCCTAGATATAAATAAAAATGCGAAAAAAGTAGGTATAAACAAAACAAACTAGGAATACCATAAAATCATTGTTATATCTAGAGCTTAGATTCTTCATACACCGCGTACAACTTCAGCACTCGAACGCTAGAACCCTGCGAGTGGCAAAATGAGAAGACATAAGAAGAGTGAGAAGGAATGTTATTACAACAGTGTCAAATATGGTACAAAACTCTCAGGTATTTATAGTTTTTAGTAAAAGCGAAATCATCATTATAGTCATCCAATTCGCACACAGTGGTTTCTAACTTTCGTCCAACAGGGAAGCTACACGTCGAGATTCTGGAATGTTCTTCCAAGAGATAAATGGATGGAATGTCTTCGGCTCTTTCTGAGCTTCTTAGAACTTCTTTGAGTTCACCAGTGTGCCGTCCTCATAACCATGAACTAATTAATCACTGAATATTGAATAGTGTTATATTATCTATTCTTTATAGCGATGATGATGGTTTCTCGGCGTAATGTGACCAAAGAACACATTACGTCAAGAAATGGAGACAGACATGAGAAAAATGAACAAAAATTGGATAGAACTAGAAAGGAATGTCCAGGAAAGAGTGGGTTGGAGAATGCTAGCCGGCGGCCTATGTTCCATTGGGAGTAACAGGCGTAAGTAATAGCGATGATGTATTTATACTAATTGAGCTGTAATGTGACTACTAGTTTAGGTTACATGATATTCGAGGGAACTTTCTTTTGATATTTGATGGTTAAAATAATTCAGTAAAAACCTATAAAACCAGGAATTGTGCTGGATGGCACTTCTCACCAAAGTGTATGTGTAATTTTGAAAACAATGATGTTACAGGTGTCATATTCAGATAGTCAGGAATATTATAGCAAGATGAGTAAGATTTACTACAGAAGAGAATCAAGTTAATTGAGTATTTTGGGTAATTTCCGGTAACTCGTTTATATTCTATTTACTTATCATGTTCAGGTATCTTTTAAAATGAAAAACAAAGCACCTATTTTGTATTGGTTATTTCTGATTAAAAGTCATTGGAATTATTTCACTAGTATGTGAAATCTCAACATTCGTTTAGTCAGTCAGTAAGCTCTTTGTACTGAAGACGATTACATGTGGAGTGTTTGAGTAATAGGGAGTAAAATGAAATGAGTGCCAAACTTTTACCTTTGTGACTATTAGAAAAAAAACCAAACAATGGAACAGAATTTTTATTGTTTTAGGTAGACTGGTCAACAACAAACTAACCTCAAACATTCAGTAAGGAAATGATTCAATCAAGCTGATTTTCAACTAGTCATTGTTTGCAGGTGTTTTAGATGATTTGTTTTTCTATTTATTTATTTGTAATCTTAGAATTTCTATTTTATCCAGATTACTTGTACATTATTCAGTACAACTAAGTTAAACTTTTATTTATTTATTTGAACACATGAATATTGGTACAAGAGAGCGCCAATATATATGCGCCACACAAAGCAATGAGAATTCGAAGAGAAATAGAAAAAAAAGCTAAGGAGCGCAAAAAAAAGAGAACAATAACGAGGAGATTGGTGTAAGGTAGTATGGTAGAAATAAGGGAACGGAAAGGTACAATCAGAAGAAATCTTTCAGGTAAGGGAGACACAACCACTTTTTATGAAGAAAGTAAAAGAAGGTTACAGCAGGATCGCCACTGGCTTCTATTCTGAGCCATATCTGATAACGTCTCTAGCCACTGTGTAGCACCATCTCTCGGACCCCAACCAGGGAGTCGTGAAGGACCAACAGAAGCCAGTCCTTTGCAGCTTTCTTTCATGCCACGACACCATGTCATACACTGACCACCTCTCCGCTTCTTCCAACCAGTCCCAGAGTCGGCAAACAATGCACGACGTGGAGTTCTCTGGGACGACATTCGGAGAACATGTCCAAGCCACCGAAGTCGGTGTTTCAAGATGGTGACACCAATTGAATTATCATCTCTGTGCCCGAACACACGATGCCGAACCTCTGCATCACTGACATGGTGTTGCCACTAGATGTCAGCAATCCTTCGGAGACAACGATGATCGAACACAGAGAGTCGTCTAACATCCTCAACTCGGAGAGGCCAGATTTCACAAGCATAGAGCAAAACTGCTCTCATCGACGCGTTGTAGATTCGAACTTTCACAGCCAGACTAACATCACGAAGGCGCCAAAGATGTCCCAGATTGGCATAAGCCGCTCTGGCTTTCACTATACGTGCATTGATCTCATCACTCACACCCCCACCAGCACTTATGCAGCTACCCAGATACACGAACTTCTCGACTACGTCTATCTGCTCACCATCCAGGGTGAGTACAGGATTGGAATCCTGCCAGTCTTGTAGAAGTACTTTGCACTTCGAAGGTGCAAAGCACATACCATACCTACGGACACTGATTGTCAACTGATTAAGTGCGGATTGCATGCCTTGGGCATTATCGCACAGTAAGACAATATCGTCCGCATACTCAAGGTCGAGAAGTCTTTCTCCAGGCAACAGATCCACACCACCATTACTTACATCCATCAGAGCTGTTTCCAGAATGTCATCGATGGCAAAGTTGAAGAGGAATGGTGAGATTGGGCAACCCTGCCTAACCCCACTGCTCGAATGGAACAATGGAGAGAGGTGGTCGTATGCTCTCACTCTGCCTAAGGTGTTTGTATATAGGGCCTTTAGGGTGTTAATGAACTTCTCAGGCACACCCTTCTTCAATAGACAATCCCAGAGAACAGTCCTGTCCAACGAATCGAAGGCAGCCCTGATGTCAAGAAACACTACGATTGTTGGCCTTTGATAAGTATGGCGGTGTTCTAACATTTGGCGGAGGGTAAAGATATGATCAATACATCCTCGACCAGAACGAAACCCAGCCTGCTCCTCGCGAGTCAATCTTTCTCGGGTTTTGAACAACCTACGAAGAATGACGGAAGCCAATAGCTTGGACGCAATCGGAAGTAGACTTATCCCCCGATAGTTGTTACAGGAACGACGTGAACCCTTTTTAAAGATAGAGACAACTATCGACTCATTCCATGACGTTGGTACACTCTCTAGTTCACAGACCTTTGTAAACAACGTCGTCAATTCCTTAGTCAAAAAGTCACCACCATCTTTAAAAAGAGCCGGAGGTAAGTCATCTGGGCCAGGTGATTTGTAACGCTTCAAGAGCTGGAGTTCCTTGCGGACTTCCTCCTCATTTGGTGGATCAGTCGTCACCGGCCATGGAGGGCAGGACAGTCTGACCGATGTTGCCGGAGCAGCAGGCCAGTTGAACTGCCCTTCGAAAAATTCTGCCCATCGTCCAAGACGTCGATGGATGTTAGTGATTGACATCCCATCATCCTCGCAGATTGTTTCACTCACACCAGACTTCTTGCTGCCAGTGGCTCGGATGAGTTGGAAGAGCTTCCGGTAGTTACCAGATGCAGCTGCTGCTTCCAGCTCATTAGCACGCTTCGACCACCAGGCTTCTCGGTCCTTACGCAAGCTTTGCCTAATTTCCTTACGTAACATCCTTCGTTTATGGTCAAACTCACGGTCACCCGGAGTAGACCGACGGGCTTCAGTGAGTTGTAAGGAGCCCGAAGAAACCCAGTGCTTATAAGCGGAACGTTTCGCAAACCCACAACTTACTGTTCCCGCCATTTTCATGGCGTCATGCAATTGCAACCAATTCTCATCTATACTTTTCGGTGGAGTGGTAGCTAGCCTAGAGGCTAGCTCGGTTCGATACTTACTTGCAACAGAAGTTGCAACCAACTTGCTAACATCAATCCGTTGGTGGCGGTCACTTCGTTGTCCACTGAAAAGTAAGGCAAGATTGGCGCAGACCAAGGCATGGTCAGAGTCCAGATAGGTACTCCAAAAGGAGCGGCAGTCTTGTACACAACCACGCCAGCGGTAGCTGATCGCGATGTGACCAATCTGAGTCCAGGCTTGAGATGCAGAGGGAGGACGCCATATGGCACATCGGCGATGACTGTGCCGAAAGTTAGTGCTAGCCAGAAACAGGTTGTGGTCTGTGCATAGTTGCAGTAGACGGTCTCCGTTATCTGTCCTGCGACCAACAAGTCCCCATCGGCCACCTAAACAATTCTCTTCTGTGCCTAGACGCCCGACCTGAGCATTCAAGTCTCCGGCTAGTACTACAATATCTGTCGAACGCACTTTCTGGAGAAGAACAGATAACTGGTGGTAAAACTCATCCTTGATTGCATCCGGGCTGCAACTAAGTTAAACTAAGTTAGTTTGAAAATTATACGCAGATAACAAAGTAATATGTCACTGACATCCGTCTATAGATAAAAGATAAAAGTACACTGAACATCCACTAAAATAAGTTCACAAATTGCAACTTACCCAATCTTTCCCACTCGACTTCGTAAGAGTCTACATAATTAACTATGCGTTTCTTTACTATCCTATAAGGAAAAAAATATACTTAGATTAAAATACCAGAGAAATAATGTACAAGCCTAATTAAATTAAGAAATAAGTACAGGTGGTTAGTGAGATAAATTATTAGAGATTCAAGTCAATCAATTAGTAAAACTTATCAACGGTCTCTTATTTAAAATGTGACCAGATTTGTTAAGAAAGTGAACAATATTTGAGTTGCTAACTTGCAGCTTAAATGTATTTTAAAATATTTCTCGGGAAGTAAAGCTTTTATGTAGTCAACCAGGTCCCTACGATGAACGTTTATTGATTCAGGTTAACGCATCTGACATCACAACAAAATAGGAAAATAACAAGATAAACACTAATGGAGTCAATATAATCTTAGTAGCAATGATGGTAAACAATGTTAAATATTGAATATGGTTACAAAAGTAGTTAAAATGTATGTATGAAGGAATTCTGAGACTTACGATCTAGAAGATAAGTGGATCTAAATGCCCGATTTGGAGATATTTTACTCAACATCTCCAACCACTGATCTCAATTATCCCACAGATTACAAACAGTTTGGATCTACCGATATGTCTCAGTCCAATAGTCAGTGATCTTTATAGACTGATGACAAGGCTTAGTTTGGGTATCTTTATTTTTGTCTAATCTATTATTATACCAACCAACATTATTCGTCGAGGGAGTTGGTGGTTAGATACAGACAACGAATCTCCTCGTTACTTCAGCTGACGAATACCCACAACCTCGTCAACCGATTTGCCAGAAACCTACCTGTAACCTAACCCTTGCTAACTCGGTGGTCCCGAAACACATGACCAATGTTTCGAATAAACCTATTATCGAATACTGGTAACTTATGAATGCCTTCTACATTTAAGTGACACGTTTCGTAGTCAAAAAATGAAACACAGCGAAATGATATCTACCGTACTTCCTGCTTTATTGTCAGACGTCGCAACGGCAAACACGTTAGTAAATCTCAGGAGATTTCTGAAATCATACTGAAGTACTGGGGAAACATACAAGATAAGTGATCGAAATCTCCCCAGTGATTCAAAATTATAAGGCGCTTGAAGATCGAAGAGCAGGTAAAATTAATCAGCTTCACTCAGTAGTATTTCACGAGGTTAATATTTTAAATAACATGGTTAAAATACTTTCGAACACGAAACAATAATGCGATCTTATGATCTGGAGATCCAATTACCATTTTAATGGTGCATCAATCTAATGAAATTAGTCAAGAGTAAAACGGAATATTGACTAGATATATTGCCCATAAGTAACGCTAATTTTATTGCAAATGTTTTCTTAGTCAAGATTTATTGTTTAGCTAGAGGCTAGTTCCTTGTTAAAGATTCATGTATTTAATGTTTATCCCAGAGGGCAATCTTGATAATTTTGTCTCTTGTTTGTGTTTAACGTCTACTATATGTTCCTGGTTTACTCACCTTGGATTTCAATTAGTAATTTAAACAAATTTTATCCAAGTAAATATCGGCATATGGTAACAGACAACTGAATATTACAAGAAGCTACGAAAATCTTATGACTTTATTCAACCATGGTGCGAGTATATATTTAACTCATAGGTACTCTTTATTCTATTTAAGAGCTGTGGTGTTGATTCGCAGTTAATCAGTTGTTGGTCAATAAAGGCAATTAATCCCAAACTATCTATTTCCCAACGATAACTAGATTGAAGTTTGAGTGTGACTAATGAGTTGAAAAATCGAACACTGTAGTTCTATGAAGATTAACGTTCAAGAGCTTCAGTATCATATATCCAAACTCTACACGTAACCGAAAACCGACAATAAATTAAGCATAAATGAATAACTGATTAAACCAAAAATGAATAGTGGCTAACAGTGGAATCCAGGACGCGCGTTTCGTCCTGTTCGGGACTCGTCAGCTGGATGTACTTGCATCTCAGGGCTGATGTTTACTCTGGGACTCGAACTCAGTACGATTCGCTTCAAACGCCATTGCGTTATCCACTTAGCTACTGAGTCCTGATAGCCACTTGCTTGTGCAATGGGGTGAAATTTAATTCACTTGGTATTGTTTTACTTGAATCTTCCCATTGATGTTTTAGGACTGAAATTGATCAGTCTCTTATTGGCATATGTGCATACTGTGCGTATAATGCTTGCAAATTAAGGCAATATCGAGGCATACGCACAGTATGCACATATGCCAATAAGAGACTGATCAATTTCAGTCCTAAAACATCAATGGGAAGATTCAAGTAAAACAATACCAAGTGAACTGATTAAACCGTTTAAATATACCTTAAAGGTTTCAAAATAACAGAATCATCAATTTGATAATCAATTAACGACTTGATATATGAAGGTGAATTATAAATTTGAGGATGTCTTAAATCCCATAATGCCATAACTGGTAAAAAATGTTGAAGAGTATAGGCTGGATCCCAATTTAAATGAATTTGACAAAAAGATACAGCTTTTCTTGGATCTGGTCGTTTCCACTGACAAACAGATTCCTGTTTGGGTAAGATCCAATTACGATTTTCAAAACTAGTTAAGAATTCTGCAAATATCTAGAACAAAAATAAATAAATAAAACTGGGTATTCAATAAAATATTTGGTTAACATTATAGGATTTTCGAGGATCACGTATTACATACGTTCATGTATTAAATTTGAATTGTTTCAATTAGTGGATGTATTCTTGGAATTCACTGATGGATAAAACAAAGACACTAAGAGTAAACGTATCAACGTACATCGTTCAGACAGTAAATGAATCATAACTAGACATGAATTTAAACATTTCCAAAAAAATACATGCGTGGATGAAATGTCATCCTGTTAGTTAGAAAATTTATATATTGGGTTTTCATTCATCGCGATTTGAATATATGGTATCTAACAATAGGTATCAAACAGCCAAATGGATTTCTGTAGTCAGTGTGTCCACATTTGTTGACTCGGTGATTGGATAAAACAAAGAACGCATAAAAATAGTGGTAAAGACTGTCATCGTCGTCTTTCTAAGACGACATTCCACTCCCATCAATTCGCCATTTCATACTTCAAATTACTCTATGATAAGTGAGCCGTTATATTTAGCTTTATAGTTTTTAACGACGCTCATTAATTTCAATATCCATACTTTAACAAATGATTAGACAGATGGATGTAATATATATTTCAAATAGTTAAACATGGATCGGCTTTATTCTATATTGCCTGGTCTAATCATAAATAAAACAAGATACACGAGTGTATATTGGAAGCTGAAATTTAGTTTTAAGAATTTAATGTTGACGGAATGAAGAGAGAAAAAAGAGGATTACGTACAGGTATATTTTGAGTTAGTTCATCCAGTGAATCGGTAGTTCAAGTGGTCAACTGTCAGGAATAAATAACTCTCATTGACAGACTTGGTGTTTACGGGATTGGTTGTGTTTGAACTTTGAACACAAATAGTGATAAAAACTTAGTTTCTGAAAGACACAAACGAAAAACATCCACAACTATTTAGCGTTCTGGGCAGAAGTAGACTACCTGGTCAGAGTCCGCATGATTATTAAAACTTCTAGTTAGAAACTTTATAGGAAATGGCTCAAAATCGTTACAAACGGTGAAGGTGCATACACTTTTCGTCACTCCTTAGATTCTACGTTTCTAAATTCTTTACGAAAACCCTTTTATTTCACTAATTCATATTTTCTTCAATAGTAACTTCTATTCCTGGTCGCTTCTACTACCACTAATACTGTTACTACCTCTGTGATTCTGTGATTCGCCCTAACAATTTCATCTCGATATACTAATGGGGTACGGGAACTTGAACGGATATGTCGGGTTCTACATTAAGTTTAACTGGCTTAGTTATTTAGTACAGTTCACCTTGGGAACATGAATCTTTTAGTCTGTTATAACTTGTTCCCTGTGTCCTGTTAATGTATAACTTAATGAGACCTCCAATTAGAGAACAGTGAATTATCGACCGGACTAATGACTCAAAAGAGTCTTTATCGGTCCCGCTTCCCGCCTAGCCCTGCCAGTTAAGTCCAGAACATCAATCTCAGCCTCTGCAATATGAATCATTTATTTCAAACATACTAGGGTTATATACCAACCAGATAGACCACATCATACCATAAAATAGGAAACAACATTTGTACAAGATTTAGCCAAATGTGGCTGCGAGTGTGGGAGGTAGTAATTAGTAGACAGGGCATAATTCAAGAATTGTAAATCATAGAATAATAGTTCATAGGTCAAAATAGAGCTCATAATAAGAGGGACATGAAAATGAATAGTTTAGTTATTTAACAATTATACAATGAAAATATACGCATAGTATCGGTCCATAAGTGGATTCCAAAAGTTACCATTCATTATTCTTATCGGGATATAACATAGTCAGAAACAGTAAATACAAACATAATGGAAACCTAATTTCCCAGAACCCATTTGAAACTTTCATTATTTATTTGTTGTTGTGACGGACTGCATTTATCAGGTTGTGAATCCTTATCGAATGAACTGTTGAAGACCTGTTCGACGTATGACAAGTCACTGACTACCCCCAGAGTAAGAACTAGAGGTTTTCTACCATAGATTAAGATTATTTTAACAACTTTAACCAAGAAGTCTGTGCATTTTAATATGACTCAGACTAATGCCATCACGGCCTAATAAACAATGACATAATTAGTCAGATTCCTTATTTTTGGTGACTTACTTCTTCGTACGGACAATTCTTTAATTCTACGCCAACACGCAGCCACATTTTTATAACACTTGGACATACACGAAGATCAAATGGATTGAGATTGAAATCTTCGCAATTTTGTGGACAAGTACTTGTTAACCAAGTCAAAAATTTAATGAGGAAATGCTCATCTACATGCAGATTTGGAGATTTCAAGGATGCAATCAAACGTAAAGCTCCAACTGGACCTAAACGAGAGACACCACTTGCCCAATAATCACAACCCAACAAAATGCCAAGTAGAACTAAATCACATTTCGTCAAATTCAGTACGTTGCGTATACGATGCATGTGAAAAACACAAACACTGGAGTCCTGAAAAAGAGAAATGAATGTGTGATAACATCTAGAATAATATTCATAAAATAAAACTGAGTTTTTAGTAACTACTTAAGGGTTGGTTTATTGGGCTATTACTAAAACTGACCGTTCTAATTTCAGTATACAAAGCATGGTCGAACTTTTGTTAAAAACGAATTTATAGCTCATCGCATCAAAGTCACTCATTTTTAAGAAATGTCAATTTAAACTGGAGAATTCAGAAATAATTAGTAGACTCAATAGTTCTAGAACCAAAATGAAACAGAAAAACAGAAGGAAGAAAGTACTTTAACTTTCTGAACAGACTAATAAGTATGGTGAAAAATCATTATCGTCGAGAGTATGAGATAAGAACATACTTAACGACAATGAAAATTTAAACTTTATCAAAGACTACAAATCCTGTGATAAAAAGTAAGTCTTGGTATAATATTCACATTAATCGATCACTGGTAAGCAACTAGTACCTTACTCCGGACTTCTTAGCATTGATCGAATTCAATTGATAGGAAAGTGGCAACATGGTCATTAATTTGAACAATCCCGATTTATTGTAGTTTGTATTTGATGCTCGGTAGTTGAAGGTAGGCTGTAAGTAGTCATAACAATAGCTACTGCATCACCCAACGTAGTGATTAGAGACAGTGTTACTGAGTTACTTCAGCCAAGACTGACTTTATTCAGCAATCTCATTGTAAGAGTGGTCGACTGAATACAGAACTGAGGGCTAAGTAGGGTAAGAATGGTTGCCATTAAAAGTAAAATAAACCAGTTCTTCAAATGTTCAGTTGTGACTTAAGTAGCTCCGTCTACAGTGCTGATTGACGAGGACTTAAATCAGTTTCATTGAAGCTTTAAAAGCCCTTTGTTGATGAATACCTGAGAGAAACTAAGACCTAGAGCCCCTTATTGATTATCTACAGCCAACTAAAATCTAACACTGAAATAACTTCATAAAAGGTCTTGGTTCATTCATGTACAAATAAGATTAAAGGAGAAACAGAAAAATAACTATTGAATAAACTAGCCGTCAAAGAGCAATAAAAGTTGGATGAAATACACATGATTTTCATGACATACCCGACTATCCATAGAGAAATGACGATAAACTGTCTCAGCACCATACAAAAAAGCGTCACCATCATTTGTGATACAAGCGTCCACTAGCTAAAAGGATAAATGAGAAAAAATACTTTATTTTTAGCTGGAACAGTCTTGTTCATTAAAAATATCTAAAAAATAGACCAAGGAATAATTAATAAAAATCAGTTATCAGAAAAGGTCTATGGATTCGGTGAGAGATTGGATTGAAACAATAGGTCTAAGCCCATGGCTTAATAGTTGAAAACACATATTCAAACTACTTTGATATACTTATACTCATTTAAAGCCTATATGAGTAGTGTAAACTGAGAAATGAGGTAACTGTTATGACACGACGAATAATGGGAAAGTTGAAATTCTCAGTTATTCTTACCATATAATTGATAGATAACTTTACTGTTGCAGTTCTACGTCCCCTTATTGTAAGCTTTCAGTGGACCCATTGACTGTTGTTATAAGTTTCAGTGTTCCCTAATTATTGCTAATTAATTACGAACTGATTGCTTCGTCCTCTACCACATGGTATGATTGTGCTATAAAGTGTGATTATTTATTTGGTACCGTATGTGGTCAGGGATCGTCGGTATATTATTGTAGGAGTTTTGATTCATGATTGGATTGGGCACAACAGAAAACTAATCTGCTTTCTACTGTCGTCTCCTGACTAACTGCCGGCTTGGATAGGGCTCGAAGACCAATAAGTGTTAAGACCTTGATTGTTATTGGTTGGTGTTATGTCCCGATGAGAATAATGAATGGTAACTTTTGGAATCCATTTATGGACCGATACTATGCGTATATTTTCATTGTATAATTGTTAAATAACTAAACTATTCATTTTCATGTCCCTCTTATTATGAGCTCTATTTTGACCTATGAACTATTATTCTATGATTTACAATTCTTGAATTATGCCCTGTCTACTAATTACTACCTCCCACACTCGCAGCCACATTTGGCTAAATCTTGTACAAATGTTGTTTCCTATTTTATGGTATGATGTGGTCTATCTGGTTGGTATATAACCCTAGTATGTTTGAAATAAATGATTCATATTGCAGAGGCTGAGATTGATGTTCTGGACTTAACTGGCAGGGCTAGGCGGGAAGCGGGACCGATAAAGACTCTTTTGAGTCATTAGTCCGGTCGATAATTCACTGTTCTCTAATTGGAGGTCTCATTAAGTTATACATTAACAGGACACAGGCAACAAGTTATAACAGTTGGTCGGTGTATCAGTTCGTAAAATATATTACCAGTTCCACTAGCAATTAGTATTCGAAATCTCTAGTCATAGGAAATGAGTAATTTTACAAAACATAACAGTAATGTATAGCATAAGATCAGTATCTGAAGCATCATAAAATAACTGTTACAAATGTAATACTCCTATAATACCATGTAGCGATATATCTATTATACAGCTACTGTCAGGGAAATCTTACTCACTGCCTTCTCGTGGCATTACTATTGTTTACGAAATTGAGAGGAAGAAAAGCGAATGTTCGGCGTTCTAACTGGGGTGGTGGGTATGGCGGGTCCACCTAGAGGAGTTGGAAAATCCTGATTCAAAACAAATGGCTACAGGATCTTGGGGGAACAAATAGCGTACTAACCAATTATTTATCACCAGCTACCATAGGACTGCATCTCCTGACGTCGCTTCACTGCCTTGTGGACCAGACCTGTAGGTCGAAGGCTCCGGGTGTGGCACTCTAAGAAAATCACCTGCTTCGGTTTGGGCACCTGGGCAGTATCACAGCCTAGACACAAATCACGTGGCCTATGTGGCGCATATGCATTCGGTGCCACTTTGTGCCAATATTTAGGTGTTCAAATAAATAAAATGAATAGTTATTAAAACCACATACTCCTAATACACACAGTTAATTAAGGCATCTATAAACTACAATATACTCTAAGTAAAATGTGAAGCAATACACTCACAGTTGATAGATTAGTGCTCAAACCAAAAAGCTAAGTTTCTATTAATAGGAAAACAGTGAGTCTTTCTTGAAAACTTACTTTACTTGAGTTAAGGAATGCACACATAGCTTCCGCTTCTCCAGGACTCTGGACCCATGGAATGCCAAATGAATTAAGTAGTTGAATGCACTAAAAGATACAACAAAGAAATACTAAACTGAACAGTCATTGAGACCTTAACGTCGTTCCTAACATCTACTTTAACACGATAACAAAATACATCGATAAAAGTGGCTATTATTGTGGAAAAGTAGTTATTTCTTCTGTGTTACTTCCCCCATTCTTGTCATATTGGTTAAAAGAAAATGTAAAATATGGTAACTCTGAGGAACGCAAGTAGACTCTAGACGAAAATGTGCTTCAAAGTTTGGTATATAACAGACGGTGGCTACTTATTAGTCTATCTCATATCATAACCGGAACTATGCACCTGTGTTTTACTTTATTTAAGTCAGTTCAAACTGGAAACTAGAAAGATTCAACTAACTATTTTGAACATTTTAATTTTTTTTTCGATCTCAGATACCAGTGTCCTGACAAACAAATAAAGAAGCAGAGTTTAGATGCTGTGACTTTGTTTTATTTAGATTTCCGTAAATTCATCAATTAATCAATTTCGCCCTATGATACAACACTGTTAATATAGTGGCTTTGAAAATAAATTACCATACTACTGAGTAATTAAATTATCTTGGAACCTTAGAATCCTCATTTACTACTTACTTCTTGAGATATTTTTGAGAACCGTATTCTACTACGATTTGGTTTCGTACATTTCTGAGTTGTGATCTTCCCTGTCCTAGGAAAAGAGAATTGAACGAAAATGACGGTAATCGATACGTTTTGGAGAAAACAGACATGAAAACTACGGTGATATAACAACTCAAAGTATCTATAAACGCTATGCATATACGAATGGGGAAGAAATTAAAATGACTGTTAGCAGGATAGAGCCATGATTAACGCATGCTTCAGACAAAATGACGTTGAGGTACAACCAATCAGAGCTAATGAATGGGGTAAGAAGACATTAAAATTTCTTTGTATATACACTGATATCTTTATGCTGTATTTACCTAACTTTTTGTCTGCTTTGGAATGTGTTCACGTTTCTGTCCAAGTCGTGCTTTGATATGGGAACAAGTAGAGTAAAGTGAAGTGTTCAAGAATGCTAGGTCAAAACTTAACAACAACGGAAACTGTTTTAATAACCAGTTGTCTATTTTATTAAGTTTGAAAAGCAAGAACTTTCAAAATCATGTCGTAGAATAATTTATAAAAGGATTTCAGTTATTCTAGTGGCTGTTAATCATCAATCCTATAACTGGATATCGACTTCGACAGATCAATGGTTAATTTTAGTGAGGAAGTAATATGATAAAAAAATATACGCGAAATATATATCTTGAAAATAAGAACTGAATAGAAATGGGAGAAATTAATTTTGATTAAACAACTTATCCTTTAATAAATAATAAAAACGAAAATGAATATTAAATAGTCGCCTAAACTGAGCTATTTCATTTAGTTTCCAGTTTTAAATTCCTTCTTAATTCAATATTCAAACTAGAGACTTAAATTGTTCAACTTTCCTATAAGAACGGAATATGACAGTTGAAATGTGAAATCGAACACTTCCACGTAAGTCGAACTGTAGAGACAGAGTAGAAAGTCACGTCTTCGATTCTATTGGCAACCGAAATCTATATATATGGTAATATGATATAAAACTTTTTTTAAAAAAACGAAACAAGCTCAGTGGGTATATGAAGCTTTAAATCAGATTATTACTTGGACCCTAGCCATTATTGGACATACAGGAATTCACCTATTAGGGAGTGTTAAGCATCTGATAAATTCCACCCATTAATAATAACGAAGCCTCATTCACTTTAGTTTCATCAGTCGACTAACACTCTACATCTGAAACAACATTTACCGCAAGAAAAGTTACACCAATAATGACAAATATTCTGAATATATTAACTCTTGATTATCTGCCCTTAATAACTACAACTCAGTCAAACAGATGTGAGACGCGTGTTATAATTCTCTTCCAACTACTTGTTAACCACGTTAGTGGAATATAGTAAATCTTTGCAAACACAAAAAGTCATTTGATATATGCGTCGGAATGTCATCAACCATCAGCCTTTCTCGTTTAACTAATTCACTTTTTAACTTTAAACAATATATTTTTTCAAGTTCAACCTAGGTAGCTGAAACAGTGAAAACATGCTGGTACTCATAAAACTTAAGGATAAAAGAACATGTACAGGTGATATATTCTCTTTCTAAAACATCAACACTAGATCTACCTTTATTGACAGCTTTCCAGGAAAAACAACTCACCATTTTTGTTGTCTTTGTTCCATAACATCCGATTTTAGTGACGGAGCGACACCATCCAAAACTGCGACAGGCAGGGTATTTTGACGTAACAGACCCACTAACCGGAAAAACAAATTCCTGCTTGTGGAAAACAAAAGTGGACTATTATACTGAAAAAATAAAGAATTTGGAGTTAGGTTTTCAAATTATTAACTAAATGTTAATTTCGTTTATGTCTGACTATAAGAGAATACTGTTTATTTATTATAAACTATCACTATACAAGTCGTACCTGTTAGGTGTCCTGATGAAGACTTAATGTCAAACGAAAATTTATGCCAAGTCAGAAAAACAATGAGATATAGCTAGTCAATTTGAAAGGTAGTAATTCGACTTAACCATAATAGCTTTCTGCTGGATAAAATGAAGTTTTGACAAAATAGTTAAAAGTATGATAATCAAAAAGAAAAAGATTTTTGTATCACTATGCACAGCAGCTGGATTATAAAGATATTTTAGATGAATGTCGGTAAATCTACCGTGGCGGATGGTATCCAGAAAAAGTTCAATATTTCGCGACATTCGTCAATAGATATTCACACGTAACATAAAGATGATTTAGAGATATTTCTGAAAACCAGTAGAAAAATACGACCTATAAATAGCAAGCGAGCAATCTGAGCAAGTTTGTGATGTTTGATGTTTAAGATATGAATGAGAACTGGAAAGCTTTGGTAAGATATTGCTTTTAGGCTTCAAACAGCCGTCAGTTTAACCTGGTTGTAGATATTTAAAGCACACGCTGTGAATTCATTTATTACCACCTAATTCAGAAACCGGTCACATGTTAACAATCCGATCCTAAGCATATCCTATTCCAGGATAATACTCAAGAGGCCGCTTTCTAGTGTTTACAGTACAGTGTAAACTTATTGAGCACTGCTGACTAGCTGTGCTGTTCAGCAAAATGTTTAATCTCACTTAAATGGCAATTGAAAAAGCTTCTGGTTACCAATCGAAGATAATATTACGGAATCTAATGTTTACTACAGTTCAGTCTGCATGTTGAAAGAAATATGGACTATTAGTAGTATTCATGTAACTACACATTTTAAATAATTTGATATCTGAATGCTCATAAAGCTGTCCACCAAAAACACTCCAAAGGGTGACGTGTGACGGTGAGTATGTGAAAACTGTTACTACATAGTTTGCTGTCATATAACTCCGCATGGAGTCCCTTCGAGGGCTACTGTCGGTTCCAAGCCCGGATGAAGGAGGAGGGTTGGGCATGGGGTTAGCGACCCCATCCTGTAGAAAACTAACTCGCTAAAAAGACGCTAACCAGAAAAAATTATTCAAACCATTTCAACTCTGCCCTGAGAGTCAGAAGGTCTTCATTTAGAAGAGTTATGACACCTCATGATGAAATCCAAGTTCCTTCGGAAGTCACGAGGCCGATGCCACTTCTGACAACCAGAAACCATTTATTTAGGTACATGGAATGCTCGTACAATGTGGGAGACTGGGAGAGTTTTCAAAATTGCTGCACAAATGAGGACATACAACCTAGAAGTGTTTGGGATCAGGGAAACATGTTGGACGAAAGTTGGAAAACAACGACTAACTTCAGGAGAGCTTCTGTTATACTCCGGCCATGAAGAAGAATATGCCCCACATACACAAGGAGTCTCATTGATGCTGTCCAAACAAGCACAAAATGCACTTATAGGATGAGAATCTCATGGATCAAGGATCATCAAAGCCTCCTTCGAAACAAAGAAAGAGGGCATTTCAATGAACATCATCCAATGCTATGCGCCTACCAACGACTACAATGAAGAAGCTAAAGATCAATTCTACGACAGGCTGCAGTCAATCATCGAGAAGTGTCTAACAAAGGACCTGACCATTCTGATGGGAGATTTCAATGCCAAGGTTGGAACGGACAACACTGGATATGAAGACATCATGGGACGACACGGACTGGGAGAAAGAAACGAAAATGGTGAGAGATTTGCAAACCTATGTGCCTTCAATAAACTGGTCATAGGCGGCACCATATTCCCACAAAAACACATACACAAAACCACATGGACTTCACCGGATCACACCACACGAAACCAAATCGACCATATTTGCATCAACAAAACGTTCAGGAGGACTATAGAGGACGTGAGAACCAAGAGAGGAGCTGATATAGTATCAGACCATCAATTGCTGATCGCCAAGATGAAATTGAAACTCAAGAAGCACTGGACAATGGGGCGGACAATATCACAAAAGTTCAATACGGAATTTCTTCAGGATACTAACAAACTCAACAAATTCAAGACAGTCCTCAGCAATAAGTTCCAGGCCTTTCATGATCTACTCAATGGAGAAGGAACTACTATGAAGAGGAACTGGAAGGGGATCAAAGAAGCAATCACTTCAACATGTCATGAGGTCCTGGGCCACAAGAAGCACCATCACAAGGAATGGGTCACTGTTGATACAGTGAGCAAGATTCAAGAAAGCAGCAATCAATACCAGCCGAACAAGAGCGGAAAAAGCCAAGGCACAAGCTGAATACACAGAAGTAAACAAGCAAGTGAGGAGGAGTATCAGAACTGACAAACGTAAATATGTGGAAGATTTAGCAACGGCGGCGGAAAAGGCTGCAAGAGAAGGAAACATGAGACAACTGTATGACATAACAAAGAAACTGTCTGGGAATCACCGTAAACCAGAACGACCAGTGAAAAGCAAGGAAGGCAAGGTAATCACCAACATTGAAGAACAACGAAACAGGTAGGTAGAATACTTCAAAGAACTCTTGAACCGACTAGCCCCACTGAACCCACCCAACATCGAAGCAGCACCCACGGACCTCCCAATCAATGTTGGCCCACCAACAATTGAAGAAATCAGCATGGACATCAGACAAATCAAGAGGGACAAAGCAACAGAACCAGATAATATTCCAGAAGAGGCACTGAAACCAATTGTAGCAGTAACTGCAAAGATACACCACATTCTCATCAGCAAGATTTGGAATGAAGAACAAGTACCAACAGACTGGAAAGGACACCTGATCTAGATACCAAAGGAAGGCGATGTCAGCAACTGTGATAACTACAAGGGCATCAATCTTCTCTCAATACCGGGAAAAGTCTTCAACAGGGTATTGTTAAACAGGATGAAAGACTACGTAGACGCCCAACATCGAGACCAACAGGCTGGATTCCGTAAGGATAGATCGTGTACAGACCAAATCGCAACTCTACGGATCATTGTAGAACAATCAATTGAATGGAATTCATCACTCTACATCAACTTTATTGACTACGAAAAGGCATTTGATAGCGTGGACAGAACAACACTATGGAAGCTTCTTCGACACTACGGCGAGCCTCGGAAGATAGTCAATATCATACGGAATTCCTATGATGGATTAAACTGCAAAATCTTGCATGAACGACAGTTGACTAACTTGTTCGAAGTAAAGACCGGTGTCAGGCAAGGTTGCTTACTCTCACCCTTTCTCTTTCTCCTGGTGATCGACTGGATCATGAAGACGTCAACATCTGAAGGAAAGCACGGGATACAATGGACATCTAGGATGCAGTTGGACGATCTAGACTTCGCAGATGATCTGGCCCTTCTATCGCAAACGCAACAACAGATGCAGGAGAAGACGAACAGTGTGGCAGCAGCCTCAGCAGCAGTAGGTCTCAATATACACAAAGGGAAAAGCAGGATTCTCCGATACAACACAGCATGCACCAATCCAATCACAGTTGACGGAGGAGATTTGGAAGATGTAAAAACCTTTACATATTTGGGCAGCATCATTGATGAACAGGGTGGATCTGATACAGATGTGAAGGCGCGGATCGGCAAAGCAAGAGCAGCATATTTACAACTGAGGAACATCTGGAACTCGAAGCAACTGTCAACCAACACCAAGGTCAGGATTTTCAATACAAATGTCAAGACAGTTCTACTGTATGGGGCAGAAACCTGGAGAACTACGAAAGTCATCATCCAGAAAATACAGGTATTTATTAACAGTTGTCTACGCTAAGTACTTCGGATCTGTTGGCCGGAAACTATTAGCAACAACCTACTGTGGGAGAGAACAAACCAGATCCCAGTGGAGGAAGAAATCAGGAAGAAGCGCTGGAAGTGGATAGGACACACATTGATGAAAGCACACGACTGCGTCACAAGACAAGCCCTCACATGGAATCCTCAGGGCCAAAGGAGAAGAGGAAGACCAAAGAACACAATACGCCGGGAAATGGAGATAGACATGAAAAAAATAAACGAGAATTGGATGGAACTAGAAAAGAAGGCCGGTCGGCGGCTTATGCTCCATTAGGAGTAATAGGCGTAAGTTAGTAAGTAAGTTGCTTTCATATATATACGAACTCCAAATGCTTTGTTAAACAAACGATTATCTGGCTGATAATATGATTTTATGTTTTCAGTCACGAAAAATGTGTCTGGTATAATGTGATTTTATGGGTCGAGTATCCAGTCTAATGATCATACTATTATCGTATTCCGGTATCGTATGGCGAATTGAAAAGTCTTTTGCTGTTATATTACAAAGATATCTGAAACCTATTTCGGAAAACTGAACCGACATCTTCCGCATGCCCACTAAACATTAACTTCTTGAGAACAGCACAAACTTTAGCAGAATTATCTTGTCGAGCCAATTTGAATTCAAGTAGTATTTCTCACGTCTGACTAAGAGCAACTATTTATTTCTGAAGACTACTGGTTACAAAGAATAATGAATTTATGTGATCGAAAAGCGTAAACGAAGTAAACCAAATGTCATTTTCTAGTGGGAATCTTATGGGAAGTTAAAAAGCAAAGGAACATAACCTTGGTAGAATTCACAAGAATCAGAAACGTCCCACCAATTAAGACAAAGAAATGAGACCCTTTAAGACGATCCCAAATTGGCGACCTCAATTATATCACTGAAGGTATAGGTGTTAAAGTTAGAATCAGATCTTTAGTCTCAACCTTTTAGTTATCACAAACCTTCAGTTGACAACTTTCGCCTTAATTGCCTGTATTGTTAACATTCAATTGTCTTATATTAAGAAATTCAGTTTCTGACTTGTATATAGCTCAAAGATAAACCGTTGAGCAATTATCTTAAGTTTTACCGAACGTTCTTTACCGAGTTACATGCCAATTTGCATTGATAAATAGTTGAACAGGAGTCGTCACATCGGTTAGCGAACAATAGAAAACTTAGCTGTACCATATTTTACGCGCCTCCACCTACAGTAAGTGACTGAACAAAATCAGAATTGACTAAACTGGTATTTTAAATTCATTTTCAATCACCGAACTAAAGTTTAGAAGTTGTTAAGAGCTATGTTTGATTTTGTTGATCACTCAAATACTGTCCTTCTTTATTCTTTCAGTACAATTTAATTGGTATCGCTGATAAATATCAACAAATGAAATAGAATATAACTATCACGTATCCTGCCAAATAGCTAAATTTGTATCTACGATAAATAAATGTAGGGTAAACGTAATTTTAGTCTATATGCGGGACCATATAGAAGTTCACATGAAATCGTACCTTAAATGTAGTGCAGGTAAGGGTCCAATTGACTTATCTCCACAAATCCATATACTGAGATCAACAGCAACAGAATCGCAGCCAATTTTGGATAAGGGGCGGTATTCTTGGACAGATGAGAGTATTCCCCATAATCCATGGACTCCCATTGTGAAGCTAGAGATCGAGTAACGTGCGAACTCCCAGCCCTTTCTGTTTTTCGAACTCAAAAGACCTCTATGTGCTATAACATGAGAGGAAGGTAGGCCATACCTAGTTGTGAAATAAAATTAAACCCAAATCAAGACAAAAGCAAAAATGATGGATTGGTGAACTCCCAATCAAAACGAAAGATCCCATACAAGTTGTGTTACTATTTCAACTACTAAGGTACTGGTGGTAATAAACATATGCTATATAGCATGATCCACAACAGTAACTGGGCTTTACGTTTCATATCAAAGAGGTACAATAACTCCAAACATCACTGATATGTTCACTACGACGATGGATACTCAGAAACTGATATAACTCATATAGTAGGTAAGTTTCGTAGAAAATTGTGTAGACATTTTCAGAATATAGCTAACAAGTGGGAGTTAAATGTCACAAGGAACATCTATATGGTTTGTCATGGAGGTATAACTCATTTCCCTTATTCGGCTGTATTACCTCAGAAAGTGAAATGGTATTTTTTTAAAGCACATACCGTTTTTCCTGACCAAGTCCATTGTAAAAAAAATTTAGTTCCTTGATAACGTGCGTAAATACGAATGTGGTGATATTCAAGCTAAGAGCAGATAATACCGCGTAACTTACTTGGCGTAAATGAAAGCAAAAACAGAATTTTTGACGCAAATTTAAGTGGTACTTTTGAAATGAGCAAGACTATATTTTATGGATGACCTTTGAACAATACTAAAATGACCTTCACGTGTCCACCTACCCAACCCCTAAACATCTAAGTTTGGGGAAATTCGAAGTCTTCCTCAATATTTCCCCAGAATCTTATAGTCCTTCGACTTTTTTCCTCCCAACTTTGGGAAAGACCACTATATTTTCTGAGACTTTGGGGAAAACCCCAAAATTTACCCAAAGTTCCCCAAAATTGGGAGATTGCAATCTCTCATGCAATCTACCCATGGGTACTTACTAGGCCTAGTACATAAGGGTTATATATTAGTGTGAGAAATTAGGATTAACACTTGAATGTTGGGGTTAAGAGTTGGACTTAATAATACCATCAAGAAAGATCAGCTATAAGGCCAAAATGGTATTTAGCCAAATGAGTGAATACATTTCGCGCCAAAATCCAAGATCTGATCTCTTAAATGTGGTTGTGTCGTTCATGAAATATAGTCTAGCACGCAAATCTCACTTGTATTGTTATCTATTCACTGATTTATGGAGATAAGTGGAAAATGGGCATATTCTTTCAGGACAATAACTAGCATCACAAATATGATGTGAAGTGACGCAACAAACGAAATATGCGCTTCCAGTCTTCAATAGGAAGGGTCCAAACGTGTCAAGTGGTTATGGACGAAATAGACGGAGATTTTGCTTAACGGGCTTCTGTATCTAGTGGCAGTGGATCACTGATGCTTCTAGGTGGAAACTTAGGTATATTAACCATAAAAGAGGAAAATGAAAAAAAGATAAATCCTTAATCCTTAAAAATATATCAAGTTTTCTCTTGAAGAACTCCTGGGAATTCACTCGAACTAACTCATCGGACAGAGAATTGCATTATTTAAATACTCTTGAGAAGCAGAAGGTGTGTCTATAGTCCGTCCTTTCGTGTTGTATCTGCAGTTCTGGGTGTTACCCCTAAGGTTTGTATTGAGAGTAAGCTTAAGTAGATGTTTGAGATATCCAGAAGTCTTTATGATAATGAAGGCCATTGAAACGTTACCTCCAACAAGTTAGTATTCTAATGGGTAAGGGTTCATTGATTGGAGTCGCTCTTCGTAAGACCTGAATTTGAGTTCCAAGACTGATTTCGTGGCTCGCAGTTGGACACGTACCAGAGTGTCCTTATCTTTGTAAAGAGAGGGAGAAAATACTGTATCCCGCATTTTAAATGAGGACGAATGAAACTGTTGAGAATTATGTGGAAATTCCTTCAGCCAAGCTGACCAAAAATGCAATTCGATGTTCCCAGTGCAAGGTTTGCTTGTGTAGCGGTAAATAAATCCCCAAAATAAATAGCACTAAGTTTTCGACATTGGATGCTGACCATATGTTTTAGTGGACTCACCTAGCTGAAGGCGCTCGGTCAGGCATCCGCACCAGATCACGTGTGGTAACGCCGTGCTCAACATCAACCGCAATCGCTAGCCAGATTAGATCAGATAATTCCGATATATTGGTCATCGCCAAATATACTCTTCCGATCTCCTCGACTCTGTCTTTTGATTTCTCTGGGCGGGAACGAAATATATTAGAAGGTGTTACTGGTAGAAGCGTTGTCAAACACTGAATACCTGTGACATCATCATTGGTGAAACCGACGTGATCTGGTACACCTAACTGCAACTGTGAGTCTGTTCCTTTTTGGGATTTTTATATATCATTGCCTTATTTTTTTTTAAACTTTTTTAAACATTGTGATTTTTTTTCGTGTTTTTTTCCTGGATATATATATTTTCCCCTCGTTCATTATCGTACTTCATACTTCATCATGACTGAACAGACACCTAAAGTACTCAAGCTTAAGACTTTGTCCCCGCCTTCGTTTCAACTGATGCCTTTCTGGCCCGACAACATCGAAGCCTGGTTCTGCTACGCAGAAGCCGACTTCTCCGAGCACGGCGTGATCGACACACGTGCACAATTCCTCGCAGTAGTCAAGGCACTACCGCGCGAATTCAACAGGTACGTAACACCTAGTATGTTTACTAGTGATGTTTCCGATCCTTACGAAATCTTAAAACGCTCGATTCTTAAACGAGGAGACCTAACCGATCGACAAAGGTTAGATCAACTCTTCAACAATATCGACCTGCAACACGGTTCTGCGACAGACATGTTGCAACGGATGAGAGAGGTAATAGGCCCAAGAACTTTCGACGAAGGCCTATTCAAACAACTCTTCTTGTCAAAACTTCCCCAACAGGTGCAAGCAGTTCTGGTCTCGTTCCAGAACAATGCCTTAGACGAGCTAGCTGCATCTGCCGACCGCATTTTAGAAATTACGAAATCTACTACCGAGGTATTTTCAGTCAAAGAAAAACCTCAAACGACTCAGAATGATATAAACGACTTATGTCACACACTCACGCGTTATCTTAGTCTTCGTACCGACAGTAAGAGATCGCGCACACCACGTAGAAGCATTTCTCGTAAGCGATCTGTCTCTAGACCACGAGAGACAGATAACCCCGACTGGTGCTGGTATCATAACCAGTATGGAAAGCTTTCCAGAAATTGCAGAAAACCCTGCAATTTTCCCAACACGAAACCGACTGATTCGAAAAGCAATTCGGGAAACTTCCAAGCCGGCACGCGTTAACGGCAACCGTAGCCGGCGAACAAAGCCGTCTGTTATTCGTCACAGATGTGACAACGAGAGTTCGTTACCTCGTCGACACTGGCGCAGAAGTTAGCGTTCTCCCAGCAAATCCTAACGACCGACTACACGAATCGACCCTAAACTTACAGGCGGCAAACGGAAAACCGATCGCTACGTATGGCAAAAGGTACGTTTACCTTAACGTGGGTTTACGCAAACCCATCCACTGGATTTTCGTTATTGCAGATGTTTCTATGCCAATCATTGGTATGGACCTTCTACAACACCACAATCTGATCATCGACACGCGCAAACGGAAGCTAGTAGACGGAAACACTAATTTGTCCGTTTGCGTAACTTCTTTTACTGGTTGTAGTGTATCCCCAGTCACAGTTAAACATATGATAGACCCACTCTATCAACCACTACTCGATAAGTACCCTGGGATACAACAAACTCAACCGAAACTACCGTGTGCAACCAGCAATGTTACACATCACATCACGACTACAGGACCACCTGTATTCTCTAAAGCACGACGACTAGCTCCTGAAAAGCTAAGGTTAGCGAAAAACGAATTCGATCACATGATGGACTTAGGAATCATACGACCGTCAAGTAGCCCATATGCATCTCCGTTGCACATGGTCCCTAAAAAGGACAGCAACGATTGGCGTCCAACTGGTGACTATCGGCGATTGAACGCGAAAACCATTCCCGATCGTTACCCCTTGCCTCACATTCACGATTTGACAGCTACCTTGAAAGGTACAACTGTTTTTTCGAAAATCGACTTGGTTAAAGCGTATAACCAAATACCTATGGCTACTGACGACATTCCGAAAACAGCCATCATAACTCCCTTCGGACTCTATGAATTTTTGCGAATGCCTTTCGGTCTAAGGAATGCTGCTCAAACATTCCAAAGATTCATAGACGACGTTTTTCGAGGTCTCAACTTCGTACACGCGTATGTTGACGACTGTCTAATCGCAAGTCCGGACAGAGAAACACATCTCAAGCATCTGGATCTTGTTTTCGAACGACTTCAAAAACATGGCATAACTGTAAACGTTCAGAAATGCCAATTCGGAACCGACTCGTTAGACTTCCTAGGACACACTATCGATGCTCAAGGCATTCGACCTCTTAGGACCAAAGTGGCGGCCATTCTGGATTACCCAGAACCGACCACCGTCAAGCAATTACGCACGTTCAACGGCCTGGTAAGTTTCTATAGACGTTTCATACCGAAATGCGCATTACTTATGAAACCTCTGACCGACCAACTTCGTGGAAATGCGAAATCCATTAATTTGGACGACACCGCACGAAAAGCATTCTCCACAGTTAAGGAACTGATTGCTAAAGCAACGATGCTCGCACATCAGGACACCCGAGCACCCATTAGCATCGCAGTAGACGCATCCGACTCGGCAATCGGAGGAGCCTTACAACAATGGGTTAACAACTCCTGGCAACCCTTGGCATTTTTCTCTAGAAGGTTGCTAGACACCGAATCGAGGTACAGCACATTCGGTAGGGAACTCCTAGCTATGTATTGTGCTGTACGGCATTTCCAACACTACATCGAAGGCCGTGAATTCACTCTTTTCACGGACCATAAACCGCTCACTTTCTCGTTAAGCTCTCCTT